TTCTCATTTTCACGGGTTTAGGAGATAACCCTTACAAGCACTCACTTACTCTTCTCTCAACCTAGTCTAACACTTAGAAGAGTGAGAGGAGATTGCACAAGATTTTAGCAACGTTTCTTTCTTTTTAAACACTTTGTGCTTATATTCTTTAACTAGGGATGAGAGGGGTATTTATAGGCTTCAGGTTGATTCAAACTTGGAGTCTAAAACTTTTCCATCCCGGGTTCCCCGGGCATGGGTGGTACTACAGCCTGCATTGGGCGGTACCATCACTTAGTGTCAGTCGACACTGACACTGTTCTGGGCGGTGCCATTGCCTGGAGGGCAGTGCTGGGCGGTACCACCGCTTGACACAGTCTCGAAGATTGTGCCACGATGGTGAGACTTCTTGGGGCATCGTTTGGGCCTCTTATTGGGCCCAACATAGTCCTTACATGGGTCTAGCGGACCCCTAATTGGGTTAGCTCAAATCCAAACCCAATTACGTGCTAACTATGAAATCTACGACATAATATGAGCTAAACAAGTCCATAAGTCTTTTCTTCCGGCGAGCTTCCAGTGATCTTCTGGCGAACTTCCGACGATCTCTCGGTAATGTTTCGGCAGACTCCCGGCAAGCTCCTAGACTTCATGATGATCTTCTCGGCGAGTTCCGATGAGCTTCTCTGGCAAGCTCTGAGACTTCTCGGCTGGTTCCGCCAGAACTTCCGATGAACGTTCGGACTTCCGACGAACTCTTGAACTCCCAACAAAATCGCGTTCTTGACTTCAGAACTTCATTTTGCTTCATGCCTTGCTATCATAGTTAATCCTGCACATGTAAAAACATACTTCGATCTAGACAATTAATACTAAGCATTAATCATGTTGTTTGGCATGTCATTGGTCTCTCGACGCTTCGTTCGATTCCTCGGCGCTTCATCCTCTCTTGTGGCCTATTGCCCAATCGGCCAGTTGACTCCGCAACTCTGATATCCTTGGTGCAATATCTGCTCTTCTTGGCTTGATGCCTAAATCCATGGCCCGAAGCCTTCTGTCGATACGTCGACCGTTCCTCCGGCCCGACGTCAAATCTTCTGACATGTTTTCCCCTAGCACAATATGATTCTTCTTGCTTTAATTGTCTCATCCTGATTGAAGCATCCTGCGTCACTCAAAACACAGATTAAATCATAGATAATTATCAATTGGTTTCATCATCAAAATACGAGATTCAACAATCTCCCCTTTTTTGATGATGATAACCAATCGACGATGGAGTTAACCTTAACTTCCGGAGTTTAAACAAACTCCCCCTATCAATATGCCTTATTGATAGAAACTCTTAGAATAAAAAATCCAAGTAAACATGTCATGATCAAATCATGCATGACATCAGCATACTTCTCCCCCTTTGTCATCAACAAAAAGGAGAAGTTCCACTTTCTAGGTGTTTGAAATAATAGTTTCAAATCGTTCCATAATAAATCTTCAAGTTCTACCATCATGCAATTTTGCTATCATCATAGATATGCAAGGTAGTAAGATAGCAATTTCTACAATATACAAGTTAGCAAATTTTACAATATTTTAGAACATGCGAGCTAGCAGTTTTGAGATGTTCAAGAAAGCAACACTTGAAATATGCAAGTTGCAAGCTAGCAATTTTTTGCTTCCTTTATAATGTTTGAGCTAGCAATTTTGCTTCCGTTACAAAGTGCAGGTTAGCATGTTTTGCATCTTGAGATAGGCAAGATAGCACTTTTAGTATGCAAATTTATAGTATGCAAGCTATCAAATTTTACACATAAAAAAGTTAGCAAAATTTTACATCTTTTGAGAT